CATTCAAGTAAATGAGCTTTCATGTTAGCATTCTACGGTATTGCCATTTATTTAACGTTCGCAAAAACAATTACTTTAATCTCCCTTTATGAAAAATATAAGAAAAGTTCAAAGCCAAAGAAGAACGTAAAAGTCATAAAGACTGATATTAGAGAGCATTATTTGTGATACAAAACATAATAAAGCTTCTTCCTCGTTAATAATTAACCGGTAAAAGTATAGAAAGTAAGAAACTTCAAAGGCAACTCTCTTAACGGACAATGTGCTTTGAATTTGATGCGTATCTACTTAAATGAAAGAAGCTGCCCGAGTTACTTATTAATAAAATACGTTATCCATTACTTTGAGTGTCTTAATTTTTTTTCTTTCGCCCGAAAGGGCAATAATTAAAAGGTTTTTGTTTCAGAGAAAGTGGTGCATTATTACGAAATTGCTTTTTTGCTGGGGCTACCCTTCCTTTACAAAGTACAACAGTTTCTCTGTATAGGAAGGTGTGGGGATGCCACGTTCGTGCACTGCAGATATTACACTTTTCAATAAATTCAAGGGAGCCCAATGATCTGGACGTCTCGTTTTATTTGCATCGATACTTCATAAGCAAACGAAAATTATTCAAATGAAGTTACACAATACATTTCTATGAAAAGTATCCATTAAAAACAGGGTTGGAAAAAACATGTTTGGTTTTATTTTACACATTCTTGGTTCATCATCCCTCAAGTTCCGGGGCAAGACAAATTGTAGGAAGTTACCCTGCGACAAAAGGTCATTGATAGCCTAAAACAAAGATTTGGTAGAGATGATTTATTGATTGAGGTGTATGTTAGGGAACTTCTCAATCTAATTTTAGCAAATCTCAATAGCAAGATTAAGCTTTCGACATTTTTTGACAAAATTGAGTCGAAGTTGCGGCCATTAGAGAGGTTCGGTGTAACATCCTTTGGTAGAATGTTGATTAGGAGAAGATTTGATTAGAGCCTGGCATAGAAGTCAATCTAACTCTGCCTCCTATTCGCTAAAAAAGCGTCTTGATGCTTCCATGGATTTTCTGAAATAGGAAATTATGAATGAAGACAGAATTTGCTTAGCCATGACCTTTAAGGATAAAAGAAAAGTAGAAGAAAGAAGTGTAAGGCACAGCACAAGCAATATACCAACAGCATCCGAACTCTTCAACAAAAGATCTCCAAGAGGTGTTTTTTGTAAAAAGTCCTATTCCTCTAATCAATCCAAGGAAGCTCTTAAACTTAGTTTCGTAGAAAGAAGGCACCGGTTGTCAGAATCCGCTTGTTGTCATTTATGCACGAAGTTTAGTGATATTACACGAAGATGTAGATCGAATGAAAAATGCAACAAATGCCAAGGAAAACACTGTCCTGTGTCCAAAAGAAGAATCAAAGGCAGCCGTAAATAAAGAAGCTTTCCAGAATTGTGATTCGTCAAGGGCATAGCTCACCTTCGTAGATCTAATTACAAAGAGATATAATTTCCTTGATTTCTTTTTCTTGCAGACATTCGATAAACCTATGGGGATATTATCGACTCCTGCTGCCTTCATTTCTTTTATGGTTGCCATGCCTTCCGTTGGTAGAATGCCTTCCCCGATGTTGTCATTCTCTACTTCCTCTATGCTTTTCGCTGTCGATATATTGGTTTGTTCTTTGCTTGATATAATTCCTCCATAATCTGTCGATAAGAGAATGTGGTCGCTGAATATATTAGCTTCTGGTTTGGCTCCGTTCTAATGTCTACTTTCTACAATATAACATCTTTCTATTTCTTAAATAGAGCTCCTGGTGCTCTCCAGGTGTAGCGCCTCCTGTTATGGTTCTCAAACTATGTGTTCTTCGCAAATCAATCAGCTTATCGCCTTTTTCATTCCTTTCTCAGAGTCCGTGTTTTCCGACTACTCCCGTAACCTCCTCCTTTTCCACACTGGCATTCCAATCTCCCATCACAACCTTACAGCCTCCCTGTTCTTTCTTTAAACCAGTTTGTAATCGGTAAAGGCGCGTTTTGAATAGAAAAACCCGATTAAACCGAAAAACCTGAATTCGAGCCCACACTATACCCTTATATGTCCACGTTTTTGTTCCATTAGCTTGGAAAATGGGAAACACTTTAACAAATTTCGAACTAAAAAGGGTCATACCAATTTATTTGTCCCAAAAGTTCATAAAATGTTGGATTTAGTACGTAGATCTTCTAAGAGCCTCATTGAAATACGAGTATGATGTCCATATTATATTATACAATGACATCACTGATAAGTGACCATTTACTGCAATGCGTATGATGCGACACTAAGCAGAACTTTTTGATAAAATTAGACATGTATATAATCATGAAATAACAAATCTAAAACATGACTTAATTACCAAGTGGAATAATAAAAGCTTCCTATAGCAATAAATGTTCATCCCAATTGATCTGTTTGTCCATTATGCGAAAGTAGGTAATTGATTCTCTATAATAAAATGCTTATGTCTAAACAAAAGTTATCCGTGTTAAAAATACTTCGAACAAACACCCATTTTTGACTGTGTATGTATTATGATACCTTGTAATTATTCACTACAAATGGGTAGCCTTGGCAGTCATTTGTAAAAGCCTCACAATTATAAATGATCCCTGAAATGATCACATTGTATTAGACCGACCACTACTAGAATGTGCAATTGAAATTTTGAAGGTTAATTGTCTTCGTTGTTTGTAATAATTGTAATTACGAAGCGTTATTACTCTGTTACAAGAACAATTTTTTAAACGTCTGGAAACACTTGTTGATTTTGCAATTAGTATTTCTTTAGTTCAACTATGACAGTGGGAATCTGGCAAGACTTCATTTTGTAGTCATGACGCTGCGTACATGCTTTAGATGAAGTAAACATCTCTATTTCTCCAATAATGGTTTCTGGGTTACGAGAGGACGGGGTTCACGCATACCTAGGCAGGCTAGGCTTCAAATTCGGGCCCAACATTGGTTTGCAAAGTAAACGTTTGAAAACCGACTTTGTGGTTCAATGGTAGAGCGTTGTTCTATAAATCCGGAGATCGGGTGTTCGAACCTGGATTGAGGTGAATTTTTCATCTGTGACAGAGATGGGAATTACCTTAGACCAGTTTCGAGCATTCTGCCGGCTACTCCGAATTAGGTTTGATTTGAATTTGAATGAATTCGTGTGTTTAATTATTATTATTAATGTCATCAAAATTTTGTTGTATTCAATTTCGTTGCGATAATTGACGAATGAACACAAAACAATTTGGGCATTGAGCTTGTGGTCAAGGTCTTGTTTATTTACTTGGAATTGTTTTAGATTAAAAATATTTGTACCTTCATATTATTTGTAATCCGTTTGCTCGTTAATGGGTTTGTGACAGTTTGGATATGATTTATTAAGCTTTTTGCTTACCTATTTTAGTACGATAACGGTAATTGTTAGAGTTAACGTGGCAATAAGAAGAAATTGTTTTATTTTATTGCGTTGATGAGGAAATTCTAAGAATTAGTGTGGACCTGACAATTTGAGTGTCCGTCGTATTTGTTATTTTCGTCTCTATGCAGTTTTTATTGGTTGATAAATTTTGTAGACAATTTAAGTGGAAAAATCGTTTAAATACTTGAGGACTCGAATAGAAGACGCTTCGAGGCCGTAGTTCCGTTCTTTTGAAGACGCCTTTTGTTGAACTTCGAGGTCGAACTGCTATCAGTAGAAGAAAAATTCGTTTCGTAAAATTTTCGGGGCATATTCTGCCGTCGTGTGAAGAAGAACAGACCTTTGGAATTTAAGGATTTTAATTTTGCCGACTGTATCCCTGGAACCCACAATTTAAGCTCAGAATTGAATCAATGGACTGTGTCAGGGACGAATTTGCACCGAGAAAAGTTTTCATTTGACTGCGAGATATGTGTTGTATTTCGCTCGAAGTTCAAGGGTCATAGTAATATATTAAAATACTGCAACTAACAATTATCAATTAAAATTTATATCTCGTATTCTCGTAATGACGTGCCAATCTAGATTTTTAATATTTGTAATTAATGCAACACCTGGTACATTTTTCTATTCGTCGGATTTACACAGAAAATAATGGTACCTATTTATGAACTTAAGATTCAATTTTTACAATTAATTAGAAAAGATTACCTAAATATTTGGTATGAGACCGGTTACCATTCATAAAAGAAAACACAAATTTGTTCACGCAATAAACTTCCGTGGGTCGACCTCTTCAGGAATGTTAAATTGACTTTGAGCATAAAGCTTTTTTTTAAAAAATCACCAACACGATCGACGCCTATTTTTACACAATGTAGAAGTTCCAATAACTTACATTTAACGATGAGTCGGAATTTTTTCCCATTGACAGTTCCTTTTGAAAGGTAGCCGAAATTCAAAGAAGTTAAATTTTTTTGTAAAGGAACAAACTGGGCTTTAGGTTTCTCTAAAAGTAGTTGTTGAACTTTTGTTTATTACTTTTCCACACCCATATACATATTGGTAGGTTTTCACCACACAAAAGAGTCCGTTGTCGTTGTTAACAGGATAACTGAACATTTAATGCGACAATGTTATGTTTAGGCTGGAGTTTCTGTGGGCCGATCTTTTCATGGAGATTTGGCGTTAGTAGGTAAATGTTTCCTTAATATTTTTTCATTTCAATTTTCTTCTCTCGGTCTCTTAGCAACTGTTCCGTTGTCGGGGAGATGAGGATAAATGACATGTACTTAAGTGCAACGTCGATGATAGGCCACTTCAAAGCATTCTGAGAGGATATCAGTTTTCGCAAACATAAAACTATTTTCAACATATTTCGAAACACTTTGACGTGTCTTCAAGCAGCTTGCTTCCAGAGACAGGAAAAATGAAATAGGTACGAAAATATGAAATCATTTTCGGGTTTTGGCAACACTTCCACTCGAAAACATTTTCAGCGTATCATTGCCACTTCTAAAGATTAGCGAATCCAAATTTCAACTTGTTTAAACAAGATAGCCTCAATTTGGCTACATAAGCTCGATCGTGTCCCGCGCCCAGGTTATTTGCCCTCAGTCGTACTAGCAAAATGGTGTTCGCCGGAAATTACAAATTTGACAAAAGCGAGAACTTTGTCGAGTACCTTAAATCCATCAGTAAGTCTTTCTTCTCATGTATTTGTTACAATAACTTATCACCTCTAGATATTCCCGATGAATATTTGGCGCAAGCCGATACCGCATCCCCAGAGGTCACCGTATCCGTCGATGGACATGTTTACACCTTGGACGATGGCAGTAGGAAAACCGTCGTAAAGGTAGGAGAAGAATGGGAGGAAGATATGCCCGTAGTGAATGTTAGGGTAAAGGTAAGGGTTTTTCCCTAGGAAACGATCTGACGTGCTTAACCCTTCGTTATTTTAGAACGTTGGTAAACTTGAGGGCAATGATCTAATGGTAACATCGACTACTCCCGATGGCAAAACCTCTGTAACTTCGTACAAATTTTCCGCTGATGGATACGTTCAGGTGAGATTTGAACTTAACTTTCCACTTCTAATTCAGGGTCACGTTTCAGATTTTAACCAACGGTGACATCGTCGGCAAACGTTATTATGTTAGAGTATAGACAAAGTATCTATAAATTAATATTAAACGGAGTGTGGAAGTTAAGCGGGTTTTATTATGTACCTGAGTTAAGTAGAGGTGCTAAGCACGCCATCATCTGATGCTACCCCTTAGTTGTAATTTTTTCCATTTCAATTATAACACTCCTTATACCTACAGGAATAAGTTTTTTTGTCACGTCATGCCTAGTCCCTGTTAAAATTTTGTTGATAGATACGTAGAAGAGGTTTAATTCTGCTCATAATCCAATGTCGTAATTCACCAATTCTGTTGGTAAAGATTCAAACGCATTGAATCTATTTTACCATCATTTGTAGTAAAACGAGGCTAGTATATGACAAAAGTCAAGGCAGTCGTGAAAGAGGAAATACTTCAAAGTCATTATCATCATGAAGTTGATCGATAACCACTCGATAACGTGAATCATTAACAGCATTATCGAATAATATCTGTCTCACAGTTCGCCTTGCCCAGTTGATAACATACTTGTAGAATTACTTTCAAAGAATGAACAGAGCTTTGTGATAAGCATGTGTTTTTGGCTCCTAGATGCAACCACGCCTCTTCAAAGAAAAAACTTTTGTCGTGTACGGGGTGACTGTTCCTCGGCCATATCTCGGGAACCGTTCGTCGTATGACAGAGGTAAAAAAATATTGGGTAAATCGGTCATGAAGAATCGCTGGAAAATATTTTCAAGTTCTAAAAATGACCACCAGAGGGCGTAACTGCCATCTTAATTTTGAAAATTGCATTTCCTTTAAATTTCGCATAATAAACAAAAAAAATTGTTTCTTGTTTTTAAAGAGAACCATTTTATCTATCATTTTCGTAAAAAAACTCAGTTATTTCAAAAACAAAGATGGTGTAAGGGGGGTCAGCCGGGGGGGGGGGGGGGCAAAAGAGATTTTGAAACCTGAATTGTATTTTTTAACAGAAATCTGCATATGCATATATATCTCTATATGAGAGAGTAGAATATAAAAAAATGCACAGCAGAAGATTTAAAAAACCATACCATTGAGCAAAATTTCCTAATTACGGCACAGTGGCAGAAGGCTCGCTGGGTAAAAAACCGTTTGAGATCGACTATGGGTCAAGATCGTTAGATCAATCTCGGTACATTAGCTCTTGAAACTCAACTTGCTAGAGAAATTAATTTTGATCGAGTGATATACTTTTGCTAATAAGAAAATCCGCAGAGTTAAATTGTAATTTGGTTATTTGAATTCTAACAATTCATAATAAATTATGAAAATTACTGTGTCTATGAAAATTATTAAAATGTTCTCCTTTCAAATCTAAGTGGTCAAGATTGAAAATGTCTAGTTTAAGATAAGGGTGATGGACAACAAAAATTTCAATTATAGGGCCCGGTCAAAAAATATTCCCGGGGCCCGTCGAGGCTAACGGCGACCCTGGCAATAACCTGGTATCGTTGAAAAGAGCATTCCTTGGGCAATGAGAATCCAAAATATAGTTAATTTAGTTGCTACGCCAGGGAGCTAGTTTAGACACCATGACCCAAAATCCAAAGAAAATAAAAAAAAATCAAATGGAATGATATGACTTTTTCTTTATGAAAAAATAGCCAAATAACATCTGAAGAGGCAATTGAAAACCGTTTTTCAAAATCTCGTTCCTAACCCCAAATATTGGGAAAATGAGTTTAATCGAGGCCTACGATACTTACAGGAGCGCTCGAAAAAGTCACGTGACGTTAGGAGTCATACGAAATACATTACGGCTTATGGAAAATCCGTGCGTGGCTCCACTATTTATTTTTTTACTCCGGATCCGTTCAACATAGAAACGCGTTATGCGGGTCACTCTGTAATTGGGCACAAGCCTGTTGAGGGCTCAGAACAAGAGAGGGATAATAAATAAATAGAGCCACGAAATTTCAATAAGAGCTTGTCAATAGTACACACAATCAAATTATGGTGTTCGTTAATTTTTAATAACGCTAAAAATAATTAATTTTCAGGTTTAAAGTATTGAAGATAAAACGATGTTAGTAAATCCGCGTTTTTCTATCTTTACATCATCATATTTCTTTTTCTAGGAGCTATATCATTATAATCCTTTCGGTGTTTTAAACTACAATGATATGCGCCACCAATTATGCGTATATAATGCCTTATCTGGTATTATAGTTCGTTCACCCAACAGAAATAGTTAAGCCACTCCTACAAAATTTGGGCCAATGTAAGCAGCAACCAGTTTTACAACCACAAAATTATAAAAAGCGGAAAATTTGAAAAATCAAATTGAAATATCACTTGCTCAAGACTAATTATGGCGCTATCTCTCTGAACATAACTCGTGGCAAAAATAGTAAAACTTGCAAACTGTTAAATACATGTAAATATGCAACATAAAAACACTGTTTATATTGAGAAGTACAAAAAAGTATTATTACAGCAGCACAAAGTTTTGAAATTACAAGTGCACTTGAATATAAACAAAGGTACATAACAATTTAAATCCTGTATCGCTTCACTCGGATTCGGACTCCGTTGATGTCGAGTCATCTCCCACATGAATTACTAATGGCTCCACTACGATGTCCATTAAAATGTCAATTTGCCACATTTTTCCCTCTTCACTTTGAGCATGGCGAATTGCGTTCTTCCAATTTTCAGCAGTAACATGTTCCACTGCTTGTTGAAATAGTGGATGAAGGTCTTTCATTTTAAATGTGGTGTTGTTTCTGGCCACTTCACCTTTTATTTGCGCCCATATCAGTTCAATTGGATTCAATTCGCAGTGATATGCAGGCAATCGCAGCACGGTACGATTGTGTTCCTTCGCAATTTCATCAACTACATATTTTGGTGTAACAGCTGCCCGTTTCACAAGCTGTAGAAGTTCAGCTCTTACCATATCTTCTTCGTAAGGTATCGATTTGCTTGTTAAGCAAGTTTGTATATCAGCTTTTTTCGTACTGGTGTTTGGTATTTTTTCACTTTTCCTGCTATGATATGAAGCGTTGTCCATTATAATCACAGATTGTTCATCAAGATGTGTAACGATTTCCAAAAACCACTTTTCAAAAACTTCACTGGTCATTTCTTCGTGATAATCCCCTGTTTTCTTCGATTCAAAACACAGCAAACCTTCCTCGACGAAGCCATTCTCGGACCCTATATGGAGAACAATAAGGCGATTTCCTTTGCCCGATGGATCTTTCAATCCAGTTGATAGCCCGTTGATAAATGCCTGTCTTGGAGTGAGAATTGTGGTGCCCTTCCATACTTTGCTTACAGTATGCCCAGCATTCACCCAAGTTTCATCAAGGAAATACAACTTCCTACCTTCTTCACGATATTTTCTAATTTCACGCAAGAACCGACGCCTCCAAGTAATTATTTCGTCCTTTTCTCTAAGAACACTATTGCGTGACCTCTTTTCGAATCTACAATGACAAGTACATAATATACATACACGTAAAGAAAAAAGGTTTACTGACCGAAAACCTATTTCTTTTATTAATTTCCATAAAGTAGTTCGTTTCAAATGGGGTAAGTCTTCGTGTAACACTGCCAAAACTTTACTCAGGGTAGGTGGTTCATTTCTTTCAAAGAAAGAATGAAGCAAACGTCGAAGAATACTTTTAGTTCCGGAATCAATATTGTCCAAAATTGCTCGTGGTCGATAATATTTTTTAGGTGAATGAAGTTCGTGTACCTTTGTATACTCCCGAAGAATCTTGTAGACACTCGGAATGCTTACACCTAAATTACACAATAATAAGTAAAAATGAATGTGCCTAAGATGAAAATTACCTGCTGCTTTAGCCGTAAACTTAACTTTATCCGTTTTAGATACCTCCGGGTTGTCTTCCGAATATGCCTTGAAGATATTTAAAATGCCAGTTTTGTCTTCAACTGAAAAGTGCTTGGCAGAACGTTTTTTTCGGTGGAGAGAAAGCAGCACCGGCGACATTCATGTTTGCGTACAACTTTTCTTGATCGCGAATAATATAACCCTAAAAACAGGCATGTAAAAATCGTGTATAAAATTTTATAATTACTCACCTGACTATCTTTAGAATAAACCGACGAGTCTTTATAAAGACTATTTTGTGTGAATAAAGGACATTAATGGCAAATTGACGCAAGTAAAAATGTAAAAACGTAAAAACCGGCAGAAACGCAATAGGCAAGATGACAGATGACAGATTACCCAATTCGGCCAATTCGCTTTACAAGTGTGATTGTGGCTTAAAAATTACACCAATAACAATGTCGTGTTCAAATGTGGCGGTAATTGTTGAGGAGGGGCTTAACTATTTCTGTTGGGTGAACGAAGTATAGTATAGTTTTAACACGCCCTACAAAATCGCGCATTTATTATCCGCGCAGAGAAAAATTCACCATGTGAGAAACTTTTTTGTTATTGCTATAATTGTATCCATATATCGAATTAATTGTGGCCAAAGGACACAAAAATGTTCTTCAGAAGGAATTTTTAAGAAATGGTCTCTTGTTTCCTTTTTTTCAGCAGCTGAAGTAAATAGCGCGATTTCAAGAATAAATGAACGCGCAAAGGAATTATGTTTCAAATAATTGTTACTAATCGATTTTCAAATTGTGTTTGTGAGATTCAAATTTACATTAGATTTATAAAATTAAAGATATTATCAGTCAAAAGTATGGAGTATATCTTATATCTTCGTTAATATGAATTTTGCAGTACATAAAGTATTTTAGTTATACCCTACTCGTGTGAAAGTGAAATGGGAAATTGTCTTGTCCGCCTATGAGGCCTGGTAAGTATCGTAGGCTTTCATCTTCATTCTATGAATAAATAAAAATAACCTTTTGAATAAGGAAGTTTTAAAAAATAACTTTTTCTATCCAACTTACAGCAGTTTTAGTAAAAAGTACAGCTTGTAAGGAATATGCAGTGCCGGACTGACCCAGGCCGCTAGATTAGATTTCAATAAACACTACAAATATAAAATTAATAATCTATTTTAAGAATATAGACACAGTCATATTTTAAAATCCAACAATCAACTTTTAACTTAATATAAAACTGC